TAAAATCTTCTGTACAGCAAATGACCCCACCAGGAGAACAAAAAAGACATCCTATAGTATTTGAGAATATATTCATAAATGACATGTCTGATAAGGAGTTGACAACCAAAATATACAAAGAGCTCATGCACCTCAACAAACAAGGAGCAAATAATCCAATTAAAAAATGGGCAGAAGATCTGAACAGACACTTCTCCAAAGAAGAAATTCAGATGGTCAACAGGCACATGAAAAGATGCTCCATATCGCTAATCATCAGAGAATCCAAATTAAAAGCACAATGAGATACCACCTCACACCATTTAGGATGGGCCACCATCCAAAGACAAGCAACAACAAATGTTGGCAAGGATGTAGAGAAAGGGGAACCCTCCTACACTGCTGGTGGGAATGTAAATTAGTTCAACCATTGTGGAAAGCAGTACGGAGGTTCCTCAAAAAACTCAAAATAGAAATACCATTTGACCCAGGACTCCCACTCCTTGGAATTTACCCTAAGAATGCAGCAGCCCAGTTTGAAAAAGACATATGCACCCCTATGTTTATCATAGCACCGTTTACAATAGCCAAGAAATGGAAACAAACCTAAGTGTCCATCAGTAGATGAATGGATAAAGAAGATGTGGTACATATACACAATGGGATATTATTCAGCCATAAGAAGAAAACAAAGCCAGCCATTTGCAACAACATGGATGGAGCTAGAGGGTATTATGCTCAGTGAAATAAGCCAGGTTGAGAAAGACAAGTACCAAATGATTTCTCTCATCTGTGGAGTATGTGGACAAAGAAAAAACTGAAAGAACAAAACAGCAGCAGACTCACAGAACCCAAGAATGGACTAACAGTTACCAAAGGGAAAGGGACTGGGGAGGATAGGTGGGAAGGGAGGGATAAGGGGGAAAAAGGGCATTACAATTAGCAGACATAATGTAGGGGGTGGAGGGCATGGGGAGGGCTGTAAAACAGAGAGAAGACCAGTAGTGATTCTATAGCATCTTACTATGCTGATGCACAGTCACTGTAGGCGGATATGTGGTGGGGACCTGATAATGGGGGGAATCTAGTAACCACAATGTTGCTCATGTAATTGTATATAAGTGATACCAAAATTTTAAAAAATTGAAAAAATGAATAATGCTCCTATGAGCATTTGTGTACAAGTTTTTGTGTTTGCAAACTTTTTCATTTCTCTTGGGTGTTTATATGGGAATGCAATTATGGGTCATATTATGAAACTGTGCTTTGGTATTTTGAAGAACTGCCACATTATTTTCCAAAGTTAGCTGCACCATATTACATTCCCACTAGTAATGTTCTATCACAAGTCATTTTTAAAACCCAGCACACTTGTTTGTACTTGACACAGGACGAGTTCTTGTAGACGTTTGGGCAGGATGAAGGTAAGGTTGTTGGAATGGTTGTGACACATTGATGTGGAATGAGCGATTAAAGACCAAGAAGCAGGTAGGAATTGTTGGGAGTAATCTAGTTCTCCTCTGATTGTAACTAACTCTATTGGGATGGTGGCAGGAAGAAAAGATGACTGGATCCCTAAAGAACATAGTGGACAGTGGAAATAATTGTCAGGCACACACATGATGCTTGCCTGAGACCAGCTGTGAGATGCTTGCCCAACATTTGCTTTTTGATCTCAGTATCACAGAAAATAAATGTCTGCTTTCAGAGAAGCAGGAATGTCATGTTATTATGTGGTGGAGCACCATCCTGTGCTTGGAACATATCTGTTGGCCTTTGCCTTACCTGGTGATGGCATCCTCAAAGGTTTGCATCCCCCTTGGCTCTGTGGGCTGTCTACCGTCTAAACTAAGCAAGCTGTTTTCTTCTCTGGTCTGTGTACTCCCTGCCAGTGGCAGCAATGAGACTTTTGTGGATGAAGTGTGTGTATGTGTGTTGTGCACACATGTGTCTTCAAGCATGCCTTGGTTTGTGCTGAGTAGCTTGAGCAATTGAAATGGCAAAAATGAATGAGAGCCCTTAACAACAAAATTTTTCTAGCCAAGAAATAAAACCTCTCATAATGCTAGGATTTAAAAATTGCCCATCAAGTTGTTTATCATATGATGGAACAATACATATAAAGCTGCCACCATCCTGGGACCTGCAGTTGCTCAGTGAGGTTTGTTACAGAGGCCTCCTGCTCTATTGGCATTGTTATCACCCTTACGGGGTTTTTTCTCTGTGATTTATCTCAAACATTTTGTATTTCCTCCCTCCACTTCAATGAAATTTGAATAAAACTATTAGGTAAAGAATGGTGTCAGACTATTACATCCTTTAAACTCATGATAAATCAAGCTGTAAGTAAACCAAATGAAGGACAGACGCCTGCAGTTCAGCAGTTCCTGGCACTGGCTGTTATTACCCTGTGTTGTACCTGTATCTCCTGAAACTTCTAGTCCGATGATTTCCTTGGAGAAGGGAGAACAGGTGTGGATGAGAGCTCCAGGTCTGCCTCACTTCCTGTGTCCTCCTTGGTCTGCGTTTCACTAAGTGAGGCAGTTTCTCTCCTTATAGACAGACTCCCGTCCATCCAGTTCCCAAAAGGGGGGAGAGGCTCCTCATTAGGAACCAGACTTAAGCCAGAACTCAGTTGCCTTGACATTCTATTCAATATCCATGTGTTCAGGGCATATTCCTGAATTGATACATTGAGGAATATGATTTAAAAAATGGATGATTTTTTTTCTGTGACAGGTCATGTTAAATTTGTTAAAATTTTCGCTGAAGCTCTATCTGAGCTTGAATGACACATCCTGATGTGGTGGTTTTCAAATAATTGTTTTTTCCCTCCTTTTTCTAGGCTTATCCAAATCTCTTGGGCTCATTGAAGGTTATGGTGGACGGGGCAAAGGGGGCCTTCCTGCTACCCTTTCCCCCACTGAGGAAGAAAAGGCCAAGGGACCCCATGAGAAGTACGGCTACAATTCCTACCTCAGTGAAAAAATTTCCCTGGATCGTTCCATTCCAGATTATCGTCCCACCAAGTAAGTTGATTCAGTCATGTGGAGGAGGGTGCTGTACCACATGGATGGGTGCAGGCCCAGGCCTGTGGCTCAGTTCTGTCATGTAACTGGTAACTAGCAGGGAAGTTTTATCTTAGTCTCTTCCACAGTCAATAAACTGAGTACTGTTGATTATGAAATATTAGCTAAAATGAAATATTTAGATCTTTATCAAAGTAATCCAAAGCATATAGGAAGGTCCTCAATACAGAACAGTCTTAAATAGAAAACAAAATCATAATGCTCGCAATACTGAGAGGCAGCAGTTGGTTAAAATATTAGTTTGTTGTCTTTGAGTCTATTTAATCTAAATAAAATTTAAAAAATAAAATGAAATAACAATACACATACATACATACATACATAAAAAACAAAAATCACCATGGTCTCATAATGTAGAGATAGTAGCCAGTAAAATCTTAATATATTTTGAGTCTAGTTTCCATACAGATTATGAGCACTTGATATATTGTTTTTGTCCCTTTGCATTTAATATTATTCCATGAGCATTTTCTGATATTATTATAATCATTATTTCCATTGTTGGGAATTTATTTTCAATTTTTCAGATTTATAACTGACATTTTGATGATGATCTTTCCACTCAAATCTTATATGTATTGATTTGATGTTTGTTTTATTAATCCACACTTCTAAAAGTATAATCCTTAGGCCACATTGTAGGACTACTCTGGAGGCTTTAGATATATACTGTGACAGTTTTCTTCAGAAACTTTATAGTAATCTCTGCTCCTACTGGAAGTTTACTTGACTCTTCCAAAACTGAGTACTAGCATTTAAAAATGCTTTGCCAAGATAATAGATGAGAAAGTACATGTTTCAACTTATACTGTTTTGTTTGAGATTCTTACCTTTTGAACAGCTTATTTGTATCTTGGTTGTCTTATGAAAGGTCTTTGGTCTGTGTACTCAGATTTAAGAATGATTTATTTTCTCCTTGTGTAAGAGAGAAAAGAGATTGGTCATAGAATCAAAATGCTGCAGGAAAACCTGTTTTCTAGGCAGGAGTCTGTCTGCCTTGGTTTCTCAAACAGATTCTCTGTTTCCTGTTAGATTTGTAGTGTCTCTCTTTTTCCATTTAGAGTGTGCCCTTACTTAGAGTAGCTTATTTCTTTTTCTAATGGATTTTGTACAAAATCAGTTAAATATCCTGGTTACTGAGTAAAATAGATTGAAGATAAAGAAAATTATCTTAAATAGATTTAAAATTGTAGCATTAACCAAAAAACCTGTTAAATCTCTGTCTGCCTAATAAGCATATATTCATTTTGATTCACTAGGAAAACATACATCACCCCTGTTGGAAGCTGTTTTGTGTTCCTGGACTTTTGCTCTCAAAAACATCTGGCTGTTTTCATTCCTGGTGCTCTCTGATTATCCTTTTTTATTTGGATGTCAGCAAATAAAGCCATATTTTTTGCACTCCTATGAGAATGAAAATGCTTACAACATGGGGTTTACTGGAAGTAGGTCTGTTGGACAAATACCAGTGAATACCTATTATGTGCCAGATAATTTTCCCCATGCAAGAGGCGAAAACTGGTTAAGACAGTTCTTGCCTGATTCCTTCTTGTCTAGGGAGGAGACAGACATGCAGGAAGGTTCAGCACGGTGTGGTCTGAGTGCTGTGTCAGGCTAGGGATACACACTGCATGTGCAGAGAGGATCTGGGAAAATTTCCTGCTTGAGGTTAATTTTGAAGGATCATCAAGGATTGAAAAATTGACAAGGGGAGAGGGATAAGGATGGGCCAGGCAGTGGAACAGCAGCAAGAGCAGAGTTGGGGGTGCAAATAAAAACATGGGCTTCTCAGGTAGGAATGTATAGCTCAATAGTGCTCTGTAGTGTAGCATGTGTTCTGAATTTACCACTTCTGTGTGGTCCCTTCTGAACCTTTCCTAAGAAGTTTTGGAAGATGGAAAAAGGATGGAGGAATGATAACTGACCTAGCAGACGGGGTGAGGCTGAGACCCACCCTCCTGCATGTGATGAGAAGTGGTGATAAGAGCAGAAGAATGAAGCCTAGTCACACCTTAGAACCCTGAGACTCAGGAATTGGAGGTGCTGATGCTGGATACTTCTGATGGCTGGGAGAGAGATTTGAATAGAGGGATTGCAACTATATTCCCAGATCCATTCTTCAACTCCATACAGCCAGAGATTGTCCTTCTCTACCTGGTGGAATATGGGAGGTCTACTCTCTAGAGAAGGTGAACTCTGGGCTTTAATTCATAAAATGTAGCCTAGGGCAGAGGATAAAACAGATCACTAAATGAGGACACTCTCTGCCTCATAATAATACCCAAACTTCTATACCCTCATAGTCCAGAGTTTGAAGAATCCACTCTAAGAAAACCATCCAGACTAAGAGAAAAGCCAAAAGATCTGATAGTTGCCCCCACCCACAACGTGGCTGGGTTCTGCTGATTGACTGTTAGTGAGGTGTGCCTGTTGTAAAGCTTCATTCATAGGTGTCTTACTCTAAAATAAGAAAGGGGAGCCAGGATCCCCAGACATCTCAGGGAAGTCTCTATTATAAAAGGCCTTAACAAAGACAATAATGGAAAAGGAATTTGGAGGAAACAGAGACTACAAACTTTAAAACTATAATTAGTGACTTAGATCATGGAATGTGTTGTTTAATCCACAAAACAAGAACAAAATACTATGTTAAACTAATAATCAGAAAATTTAAAAGAAATCTTGGAAGTTAAAAATAAGATAATTCAATAGAAGTTCGGAAGATAACATTGAGGCAATCTTCTGAAAGATTGAAAAGGAAAGAAAAATAAGAAGGAAAAGATTAAAAAAGAATTCGATCAGGCCAGCAGACTATCAGAGAGAATAGAGAAAGCAGAGAGAAGAAAATTGTTAAACAGATGATACAAGAAAATTTCCCGTAACTATAGAACATGGGCTTTCAGATGAATGAAAAGAAAAAAATAATTAAATCCACACCAAGAAATGTAAATATAAAATTTAAGAACAACTTGGTTGAAGATACAGTTAGTATGATCTTTCAGAGAGAAAATGTGGATCAAGTACAGTTGCTATTGATTTCTCAGTAGCAGAGCAACATTGAAAATGAGAAGACAAATTTAAAAAATTTTTTCAACTTAGAACTTTCTGTAGTCTGTCATAGAATACTTTTTACCAAGAGCAAGTATGAAATAAATACATTACATATATGTGTGGCCTCAACAATATTACCTTCCCTACATCTGTTTTCAAGAAGTTACTCAAGAATATGCTACAGTAAAACAAGGGAGTAAAGAAAGAATGAGAATAACAAGATTGAGGAAATGGGATTACAACAGGAGAGTCCTAAAGGCTGATAAAGGGATGTGCTAGGGTAACATTGCAGGGTGACAGATGTGTAGTAGGCCAGGAGATCAGCCATTCAACATTGAAACAGGAGGGTGAAGGAGGTATATCTCCAAGGGGGCCTAGGAGACAGAATTATTTGATTACCTAGTGTTTCTGACAGCTTTAAGACTATGCATATAATTTAGATATAATTGACATACTTTATATTAGTTTCAGGTGTACAACATAATGATTCAATATTTATATACACTGTGAAATGATCACTACAGTAAGTTTAGTTAACATCTTTCACCATACATGGTTACAGACTTTTTTTCTTATAATGAGAACTTTTAAGATCTAATCTCCTAACAACTTTCAAATATACAGTATGGTATTATTAACTACAGTATCCATGCTGTGTATTACATCTGCAGGGCTTACTTATTTTATAACCGTAAATTTGTAGTTTTTGACTCCGTTTATCCATTGATCCATCCTCCACCCTCACCTCTAGCAACCACCAGACTGTTTCCTGTATCTGTGAGCTTGTTTTTTTTTCTGTTTTTCAGTTTCTGCATATAAAATCGTATGGTATTTGTCTTTCTCTGACTTATTTCATTTAGTATAATGCCCTCAAGGTCCTTCCATGTTGCCACAAAGGGCAAGATTTCATTCCTTTTTATGGCTGAATAGTATTCGTTACAGATATATACCACATTTTCTTTATCCATTCAGCCATTAATGGACACTTCAGTTATTTCCATATCTTGGCTATTGTAAATAATGCTGCAGTGAACATGAAGGTGCAGATATTTTTTCAAATTAAGGTTTTTGTTTCCTTTGGATAAATACCCAGCAGTGGAATTGCTAGATCATATGGTAGTTCTATTTTTAATTTTTTGAGGAACCTCATACTGTTTTCCATTGTGGCTGCATCAATTTACATTCTCACTAACAGTGCATCAGGGTTCCATTTTCTCTATATCCTCACCAACACTTGTTATTTCTTGTCTTTTTGATAAAGCTATTCTAACAGGTATGTGGTTGTATCTTATGTGGTTTCCATTTGTATTTTCCTGATAATGAGTACTGTTGAGCATCTTCTCCTGTACCTGTTGGCAATCTGTTTTGTTTGGAAAAATGTCTATTCAGATCTTCTTCCCATTTTTTAATCAGAATTTTTTTGCTATTGAGATATATGAGTTCTTTATATCTTTTTCAGGTTTTGATTTTTTTTCAGTTTTATATTTATCAGATGTATAATTTGCAACTATTTTCCCCATTCAATAGATTGCCTTTTCATTTTGTTGATGGTTTCTTTTTCTGTGCAGATGCCTTTTAATTTGATGTAGTCCTACTTGTTTATTTTTGCTTTTGCAAAATTTTGCCTTTGCAAGATTTTTTTTCCATTCTTTCAGAAGTTTGGGACTAAATCAATGATAGACACAGGAAAAAAAACTTGCAAAAAAGCAAAGAAATTATTAGATACAGAGAAAACAAAAATTCCTGAAGAAAGGATGTAATTCCATACATTCTGTGGCTCAGCTGTGAAAAGTATGTAGTTATGTAAATGTAAATATTGAATATTTAATCACAAATTATGGTATAATATATTGGAAGAAGGAAGAAGTAAAATGTGTGTGTCAAGTGTA